TAAAGAAGTGAACTCTGCCAACGACCTCCGTGAGCACTGGAGGAAACTCTTCTCTAGCCAAGTCTCCTGATGCGCACGGCCACACTCCAGCCTTGAGCACAGCCTGATGAAACTGTGAAGCAGAGAGCCCAGGTGAGCCATGTCCAGATTCCTAAACCCCAGAACCTGAGCTTCTTGTTAATGACTAATGTTTATTACATGTTAAATGAAAGTGTAATATGCTAAGTGTGTAGAATAGAAGTGTAATCACAAGAGAAACATGCTTTAGTGTTTTTAAGATGCAACTGCAGGTTCAGCCTTCACTTAGCATAATTTTGAATGGTTGGGTTTGGATTTTATAGAGTATGCTATCTACTGTTAGGATGCAGATACCAGATGTACTGTATAGTAAAGATCCCATTAATGTTTAAGTTTAAGAAATAAATATATCTTGTTTTAGTCTATTAATTTTGTGGAAATCTACTCCATAGAATTAGAAAAGTAATACAGATTTTGGTATTTGGAATGGTAGAATGTAACAAATTCCTGTAAAAATAGCTTGGGTTTGAAATCAGAGGTCACAGAGTGGTGAATGTTAAAGAAAAATGTGACAGATAAAGCCTGTGTTTCCTTGAAAAGACTGTTAACGGAAATCTGAACTCTAAAGGCTTTGCTGGGGAAGACTCAGAAGGAAGCATGTGATTACTGGGTGTTTCCTCAGCATGACACAGAGCAAAAGTGAAGAATAAATAATAACATAATGGTGGAAGTCTCTTTCCCTAAGATTAAAAATGAGAGAAGAATGTCAGTTTTCACTTTCTTATATTTAATGTGTAAAGAAAGTCCTAAACAAGAAAAATAAACAGTGCATAAGGACAAAAACAGTGAGAGAAAACTCTTCTGCACATAGTCTGATTGTCTATATACAAAATCCTCCCCAAATCTGCTGAAAAAGTCTACTAGAATTAATGTTTAGGATGGTTATATAAAAATCAGGTAAATTTAGGTACACTAGCAATAAACATTTATAATAATAAATCATTTGTAATATCATAAGAAAAATGAAACAACAATTAACTGAAGCTGGGTGTGGGTGGCACATGCCTGTAATTCCAGCACTCAGGAGGCTGAGGAAGGAGGATTGTTGTGAGTTTGAGGCTAACTTGGGCTACAAAGTGAGCTCAAGGCCAGCCTCAACTGAATAGTGAGACCTGATCTTAAAAAGAAAGAATAAGCTGATATTTACATGCTGAATCTATAAAACATTGATGAAAAAAGTTTAAAGACTTAAAGAAAGTATAGAGACAGACTATATTCAGAGATAAGAATGCGCAACATTTTTGAGATAGTAATTCTAGTCAAATTCATCTACAGATTCAAAACAACCCCTTTCGAAATTTCAGCAGGTTTTTATATCTATAAAAAACTGATGAGCTGATGATAAAATTTATATAGGTGACTAAAGGGCATAGACTAGCTTAAACAATTTTGATAAGAATAAATTCATTTTATGAATTTTTTATTTTTTAATTTCATTTTAAAGAGAGAAGAAAAAAACAAATAAAAGTCCAAGAAAAATAATAAACAAAAGAGGCAAGTAAATAACCATAACAAAAACACAAAACAATAACAATATAGGCTTTTAAAACATGGTGATAGAAACTTAAATGTTGTTATTTTACATAGTTATCTTCAAAAGAGTTACTCAGATTATTAGATACAGACAATGCAAAACTGATCTAATCCTAGGACTGTTAACTGTTTTGATAAGATCAAATTTAAAGGAAGGGGTTATATTCCCCACTTTACGATTTACTACAAAGACACAGACACAGAAACAGTTTGGAATTGTTCTAAAGACAGGCCTACAGATTAATCAAACATAACAGAAAACCCCTAAATGGACCTACATTTATATGATCTTGATTTTCAACAAAGCTACAGTAGTAGTAACAATTGGATTTACATGTGGAAAAGAAATGAATCATGACTCTTAAACCTTGCACATATCCATAAATCAACTTTAACTGGATCACAGGCTAACGTATAAAATCTAGTTTCAGAGGATTTAGCAAGATCTCTCAGCTGGAAAACCAGGTTATAATATTATTAAACAGAACTTGAAAACCGAAAACTTTGAGGGCATTACTTAGAATATGAAGAGAAAATGTAGAATTATAACAAATATTGGACAAAAATCTTGAATCCAATATATGTAATACTTATAATAATAAAAAAGTCAAATCCACAAAAATGAACCAAAAATTTGAATTACTACCAAAGAAATAGACATTTTATAAATAAATATATGAAAACATGTTAATTAGATATTAAAAATGTAAAGTAAAATCACAAGAGCGATCACATATACTAGACTGGCTAAAATTAAAAAACAAACAAACCTCTTAGTATCAAATGGAGACAAAAAGGAGAGACAACTGAAATTCTAACATATTCCTGATTGAAATCAGAATTTAATAGCTATTTAGAAAGCATTTTGGAAGTTTCTTGTAAGGTTAAACATGCTGGTACCATACTGCCCAGAAAACCACTTTTAAGTGTTTAAACAACAGAATGAAAACATACTCGTGCAAAACCCTGTGCATAATTTATACTAGCAATAAGCATAATAGTTAGAACTTGGAATAAATCTAGATGTCTATGAACTAACATGTACACAAATCATGTCTCCGTACAATAGAATTATACCCAGAAACACAATTAATAATAAAGCTAGCCAGTCATCTTGGTTGCATTTCCAATATTATTATGCTAAGTAAAATAAACACAAAAGCATTACATATATCATTTCTATAACATTTAGGAAAAGACAAAAATACAGGGATGGCTATCATATTAGTGGGTAACTGGTCTGTGGGTAATTTTTTGGATACTTAAAATAATCTGTTTTGATTATGGTAATGGCTCCATAATTATATACATTTCATTAAAGCAAACATCTAAAATGAGTGTTGCCTGCATACCCTTAAAATCTTTAAAATTAATATACTACTTAAATTTACTAATATATTGAGTAGTTTTTATAAATTCCATAAAAAGTTTAAAGTTCATAGAGTTGAGCATGTTTCAAGGAAATAGGTAATATTTTTCATCTTCTTAAAAGTTAAGCATATGAGAGAATTTCAGAGCCATCAAATGAAACTATAGACTTTGAACTTCTTAGAAAGATGTAATTCATCGCCTACCTTCCACTCCCAAAGACTATTAGTGATTCCTACGTAAGGTGAGCTATTAGAGATAAAGAAGTAGTACAAAAAACTAATTCACCATCTACCCTGGATTGTAGGACTCAAGTCAAATACATATTTGTAGTCCTTGTTTGAAAGATTAGTAATTTCCATTTCATTGAAATTTTGAGAAAATTGCATTCATCTAAGAGTTTTAGGAAGAGATTTTAGGTTTTTTTCTCCCTCCACATTATTTTTTTAGGTAGAAAAGTTGTAATTTTCCAACACATTTTATTGCTTGATGTTCCATACTTTTTTCCCCAAGGCCTCAAATTATTTAAAAAAAAAACCTGAAAAATCTCCTTGGAATCTAGCATTCTTCTGCATCCTGTTCCATGCTGTTCTCACTCACAGCCTCTTGCTACAAACCACAGTCAATAATGGATCCTTCTCCCCTCTACTTGTGTAAAACTTCTCTTAGCTCTACTTTGAATACTTTATTCACTGAGTGGTTTTTCCAGGGGATTCTGCCTAGTCTATCCAACTTCATATGTACAAACAACTGAGGAATTTTGTTCGAAGCCTATGGTTAATCTTTTACTATAATCTTTATTTAATGAAAAATAATAAAGATGATACAGAAATTCAAAACAAAATTATAGAGGATTCACAATGGTTAATATTTTGCATATTGTTATCTTCAAAGTAGTTGTTCAAATTAAAGATACAGCTTGAGAAAGTGATCAAACAATAAAAGCATTAACTTCTCTTTTTGATGAACTAACATATCAGTAATGTAGTTATCTATATTGTATATATACACACATATATATTTTTTAATACCCCCTATCTCAGTTGTTCTTTCCTTTTGAGCAGTTTCTTTCCCTTTCACAATATCTATTGTACATTTTGGATTCTATTTACTCTTTCAGTTTTTTACACTAGGGAGACAATGTGGTATTTACATATGCGAGTCTGATTTATTTCACTTATGACTATGGTCTCAAGTTGCATCCATTTACAGCTCTGCAGATTTAAAATACCAATTTAGCCTAACAATTTATTATCTGCATCCCAATACCACTGATTTGTTTGAATTTCTACCAAATATTATTATAGTAATACTTGGTAAGTTTCAGCAGCCTTATTAGACAATGTCCATTCCCATTTGACTTTAACATTCAGGTTCACACTCACCCAGGATCCTGCAGATTTGTGTCACAATGTCACACCCTCAACTCTCCAACACAGCCTCCACCTCATTCACCCATGAATCGTGTTAACTAGAGACCTTGAACCCCAAGCCCTCTTTTCTGATTATAGTGTTACTACTATTTGTGTTTTCCGCCCTACACTCCTCACAGGATTGCTTCTTTGCTTTTGTTGTGATTTCTAGTACACAAGAACTTCCTGTGTTTAGTTGTAAGTCATTAAAGTATACAGCGATTTTAATGTGTTTAGCGGTATCTTAAAACATTGTACTGTCTTAAACTTCCATGAGGTCTTTGACGCCAATTTCTCACTATGACCATAATGAATACATATTTCCTGAGTTCTGGCTCTCAGAAGTGTAACATGGCCTGAAACTACAGAAAACTAGTGCCAGTCGGCTGGGAAGCCATGCCGCATTGCACCAACTGGGCCCCCAGCCTCAGTGATGCTTTGAATCAGTTATTGTGAATTCTGATCTGGTTATACTTTTCCCATTACCTTATTAAATACTATATAAAAGCTACACTTAAAATAGAATTTTTATATCAATTTTATCTACTGTCATACACCATTATCCAATGCAAACATAAACAAAGATAAAATTTAATCATTTATACTCACTTAGAAATGGGATTGACACTGGCTTCAATAATTGTTAAACACTTACAACACTTTATGTTTTCTGGAAATTCTTGTACACCTAAAAAAGTAAAAAAAAAAGTACATGAAAATGTTCTCACAAGTATTCTCTAAAGTATAATTATAACATTATGCATAAGCAATTAAAACTAGGAATAAATATATCATCTATGAAATAGGATAAACATTTAAATAGGAATACTAATATATTGTCACATAACAGATTCATATGTACAGGTATTTTTTTCTAATAATATTTGCATGTTAAATTATATTTGCTGATAGTAATAGCTGGATACTGAATATAAAATCAGAGACAATTATATTGGCATGAGATAATTCTCAATTCTTTAGTAATTTAAAAAAATAAAAATAAAAGGAATTTAGTTATTATAATGCCTTCCCAAAAAAGGAATTCCTGCAGATACAAAGAAAATGGAAAATAAAATCATTTCCAGAAATCGTTTTCAAAGGGTAGGAAGAACAAATATATAGATGTGGAGAATACTTAATGCACCCTAGAAGTGACATATTCTCAAACTAATATATGTAGGGTGGTAATAAATTTTATGCAACTCTTTAATTGAGTATCATCCTGCATCTGTTTAAAAGTGCCCTGAAGAGATAAGTTACCCTTCCTTGGACCCTCTCTGAATCTCCGAGGGAGTCACCCTAGCTAATTGCTCTTGGACAATTATTCTTTTCTTGTCACAGCTATGTTACTGTCAATGTGACAGAAAAGCACAAGTTTTTCTATAAAACTAAAAATTGGCATGCCATAAACTCAACTCGTAAGCAAGGATCAGAGAAATGAAAGATGAGGGGCCATTCCAACTGGTTTGCACAAATGCATCAAATATAATAGGCCATGCAAAAGTTAGGAGAGACAGCTATGCAGACTATTACTATACACCCACAGCAATGCTTCTGTTTTTATAGATGTTAAGCTTCCATGAAGAATTGGCCTTGCTCAAACCCTCATATCTATTAGAAAGATAAGGAACCTTTTTGTGGCAGTAGATAGCTGACTTTCTGGTAATGGATGCTCAAGAAACAAGCAATTCCACTCTTTGAGATTTCATTAATCCAGACCCCCCGAGTCTGCAGAGCCAGAAATCTCAGGGAGGTGGCAGAAGGGCAGCCAAATACAAGACAGGCCATTCATCACCTCCAACGAAGGACACACAGCAGGAGGTGGAACACCTCTCAACTGATGTCTCCTTCTGGAATTTTTCTATAGAAATTATGCTGGCCTAAAATGTATTGACTTCCATAGAAGAACCCAAAGAAGTTCATGAGCTCCACTTTATATGAATTTATAACAAAGCAAGATTGTCTCTGTCTCTCTTGTTTTTTTGTTTTTGTTTTAGTTTTGGAAGCCTATCCCATAATTCTTTGAGCTGCCTTCATTAAGTGAACATTAGCAAAATGGGAACCAAGTCAAAAAGTGACCTTTGAAGCATCCTCTACACTTTGCCTTAGTATTCATATTTACTCTGCATACTATATGCAAAACAGAGCAGGGTAGCCTTCTTCTCTCTCTGTAGCTTTTTCTGTTAATTGTCAAATATGGGCTCATTTCATGCTGTTCTGCCTCAGTCCTCTCCTTACGAGTTCCTACCTTAGGATAATATCTCCTTAAATTAAGTGTAAGCCAAGAAGTAGAAGCAGAAGTAAATCAAAATAGAATTTTAAGGACAGGACTGCTTCCTTCTCTTTCACTGCAGATGTAACTGCCCACCATTGTAGAAGGGGTATCACATCATTTGTTTATTAACCTGCATATATTATTTACAATTTAATTGCAAGACGATTTGCAGCCTAAGATGGAATCCCAACATAACTCCATTGGATGAGTCTAGGAAGGTCACTTAAACTATCAGTGTGTTAGTTTCTGGCTGAAAAATGGTGACTGTATCAATAACCTCATCATAGAGTCATAATGGGGTATTATTTGGCCTTAAAAAAATGAGACAATTCTGACATTCACAACAATGTAGATGGACCTGGAGCACATTATTCTGAGTGAAATGGCCCATACACAGAAATAGAATTATCTCCTCATACCACATATATGGGAGACCTGAAACAAATGAACTCATAGAAATAATAAATAGAGTGGTGGTTACCAGGCACTGGATGTGCAGGAGTGCGGGGGTCGAGACCAGTTGGTCAGAGGAGAAAAGCTTTAAGTTGTAAGATGGGTAAATTCTGGCTGTGTAATCTGTATGATGGTGACTACAGCTATTCAGACTAAATCACATAGTTGAAAACCATCAGACTTTTAAAACTGAAAACAGAAAGTTCAACAAAAGTGAACTTTGCATTTTTATTAAACAAAGTAAATGCCAACTATACAACAAGGACCCTGCCAAAAATACTTCAAAATCTCTTTTCATTTGAATCTGTCAGGTCAACCACTAACCTAAAAAGGTACATTCCCTTAAAATATGCGATGCATGCACAATGTTTTGAAGAACAGTACTTAAGGATTTCAAAGATAGAAGAGTATTGACTACTACTGTCTGAATGTTAGGGGCACACCAAAAGTCATGGTTGAAACCCTAAACCTGACGACAGGACGCCAGAGGGAAGGCTTTGGAGATGAGCAGGTTAATGATGATGGAGCACTTAGGAATGGGATGAGTGTCCTTAAAAAAGAGAACTCAGCATGCCATCTTGTGTTTCCACCACATGAGGATAAAGTATGTAACACTTGTCTGCACCTCTTTCCTATGGGCACTCGGGACATACCAAGGTGCAGGATACAAGAAACAGGCCCCCCCCTGGACTTGGGGTTTCCAGAACCTTGATCTCACTCAAATAGCACACAATCTGTAGTATTTCACTGGCCTCAAGAGCACATTAAAAAACAAACAAACAAAACCAAAATGAAAATGACAACAACAAAAAGGAAAACTGTCATTCTCTAAATTCAGATAAATGGGTGGCTGTCAACCAATAAGTTTCCTAGTGCCAGAAGTATCTATTCCGGGAACGTCAAAGAAAGACAAAACGTTTGCTGCAATTTGAAGCTCCTGGCAAATAAACGAGGATCTGTGACAACTTGGGGAGAATTCTGAGGAATTGTTTTGACCTTATTAACCAGTTGGGTTAAAGGGTATTTAAGAAGTAAAAAACTCAGTCCATCTGCTCAGAATCCTAGGGAAAAAAAAAAAAAAAGCCAACAAATCCTTTAGCATAACTTAGATGTCTGAATATTACGGACCCACCAAAATCATGGTTGAAACCCTAAACCTGACGACAGGACTAAACTATCTAGTTAGAACTAATAAATTCCTAGATTTTAAACAAAGAATTTTTCAGATGTTTGAGTTCGCAATACTTTAGTTTTGCATATGCCATTTTTAAAGAAGCTTCTGAGTAGTATTTGCCACCAAAATGATACAGTAAATCAAGAAACATGGTAACTAGGAATCAGATGAGTTGGTACAAGAGAGCTAAAAAAGGATTCTCAAAGTGATATTGAGAATGTCATTAAGTATCAGCCCTAGGCAGGCCTGAGCCATGAATCTAGACTGGTTTGGGCAGAAAACTAGGGAATTTTCCCTGATAAGATGTTGAACAACTAGAAAATTAAAGTATTGGTAACAAATTTATACACCTTAGGGAAAATATTGGGTTGCATTGATGAAAAATATACAGAAATCTAAGCATTGAATAAAAATGACAGAAAAGTTAAGTGTGCTGTGTGTTGCAGCTGTGCAGTAGACAGGGCTCATGTACACCAATGTTTTTCTGTGTTTTTCATAGCTATTTTCAACTGCATATGAAGGCTGGTATGCATTTGGAAAAACAGATTGCCAGGGAAGCTTTATAATGTATACTAGTAAATGGGTCATGGAAGAGGAGATAGACTTACAGCATATCTCAGAGTTCAAACCAAACATGGAAAGGTGTGATGGCACAGCGCTTAGAAGTTCAAGTTGGAAAGGGCGATTGAGCCCCAGTTACCTCATTTAACTAGACATGTAGCTTTTATTTTTTGTTTTGTTTTGTTTTTTGCACCAGGAATCAAACTCAGGACCTTGCCTTTCCCAGGCAGGTACTGTGCTATTGAGCTGTATCCCCGGCACATCTATTATATTTGAATATCACTCATTTTTTGCCCAATTCAATGAATTGGGTTTGATGATAGCAACATAAAGTGTTTAGTATTATGTCTGCCAGGTAATAAATATCCATTAAATAAGAGATAAAAATCTTATATTAATGACAGATAAGGTAACTTTCCATTTCCCTACAATACTGCAAAAATCATTTAGTTCTTTTATTAATTCTGTGAGGAAGATCTAATAGGCAATATTACTTTCATTTTATGAATGTTGAACCACACATTTGTAAGATTAGATCACTCAAAACAATCACTTAAATTATTTCAGTATCGAATACGTATTTATAGATGAAAATGGACATAGGTAGACTTTAATCCATTTTGGAACCACATATTTATTCCTTTTACTTCCATTATGCTGTCTTTTATTAAAGCTGTTAGCTTTGACTTTAGAGCTCACACTTTTATTATCCAACTTTTTCTGACAGGTCTGTCTGGTGAGCTGAAACACAGTTTTAACTTATAAAAGAGGCTTTTTATATGTTTCTATATTATATATATTAATGTACTTATGTGTGTATAAATACACTTATATGTGTATACATATATGTTTGTAAGATGAATTTTGCTTTGACTTTCAAGTTTAGTCTCCCAGACATAAAGGACTACTGGCCTCCACTTTAGCAATGTGTCTTCTTCCTGACATCTTAGTTTGTGATTCCCGTAGAAAACAGGGTCAAGCATTTGTAAGTCACGTGATCCATGTTCTTACCATGGTTCTTCAGCTGAAATATCAAAAGCAAACTGTCTAGTACAGACCAGCATTGTGCTTTCCTCTCAGGGCACCCACAGGCTTACTTTTTTGTGACTCCCTGGAGGCCCAAGTTTGTTGTGTTCAGACTGGATTCCAACTTAGGCTAAACAGCCATTCATATTAAGGATGTACATGAAAGGCATTTCATGGGAGGTCTTATGTTTTATAGGCA